TTTTTTTTTTTTTTTTTAAAGGAACCTGCTTAGAAGCAATTAGTTCCCTAAGGGCTTTGTTATTGCTGGCTGAATAAAAACCTGAATTGGGTTTACTTAACTTCCTCTTTCTCAATATTGGTGATGAATGCAGTTGCATTCAGACCTACTTTATTATAGTTATAGAGAAGAAACAATTAAGTGACTTGATTGCTATAGATCATTTATATTTCAGATCACAGAATTAATTTTCCTGTATTGTCAAAGGCTTTTCTAGATGCATGACTGGGTTTTGAACTAGGACTGAGTAGACAAAAACTGAAATCTGGGAAATTAACCAATAAGAAGTTATAGCAGATAGAGAAACTGCTAAGTTGATGTCTGTTGGAATTCAGATGAATTGACCTACTCTATTTGTCTTTATATTGTACATCTTACATTTATACAAATTATTGGCTAATCTATATAATAGAATCCAAATACCAAAACACTCAAACCCAAGATTAAAATTTGGATTTTATAAACAATTTCCCATGTTAGGACCTACAGACTATCCAGGAATAGATTCCCTTACTACTGTATGAAATTATAGCTGTGATTCGGTGTATAAGTGTTAGTGGAAGTTAACCCCAGGGCCTGCAAGTTGGCCAGCTTAGTAAGTCTCCTACTGCTAAGCCCGATGGCTGGAGTTCATTCACCAGAACCCTCATGGGAAAAGGAGAGAAGCAACTCCTGCAAGATGTCCTCTGATGGCAACATAAATAATATGTTACATGTGATTGTACATACACAAATACAGTAAATAATGTCAGAAAAAAGACACTAACCCCTAAAAGAAAGTCTCCAAGAAGTTTTAAACCTTTTAGAATAAATAAAGATATGATAAAGTAAATTAATGACTTGAACTTAGTAGAACATGCCTGTAATTCTTGTACTGCAGAGGCTGAGGCAGGAGGATAAGAGTTTGAGGGCTACATATTGAGACCCTGTCTCAAAAAAAGAAAGAAAAGAAAGGAATGACTAGAATGACTGACGTCGGACTGAGTAGTGGTGTTTTCCTGGCCTGTGTGAGCCCCTGGGTTTGTTCGTGAGAATGCGTAAGAGGGAGAAAGCAGCACCCACTACCGAAATCTAAGAATAAAGTCTATAGACATACAAGTTTCTTGTTGGGCTGGAGAGGTGGCTCAGTCAGTGGTTAAGAGCACTGTCTGCTCTTCCAGAGGTCCTGAGTTCAATTCGCAGCAACCACATGGTGGCTCCAAACCATCTGTAATGAGATCTGGCGCCCTCCTCTGGTGTGTGGATATAAATGGAGGCAGAAAGTTGTATACATAATAAATAAATAAATCTTTTAAAAAAAAAGTTTCTTGTTAACTGACACTGGGTCCGTGAATTTAAAATTTTATTACAAGCTATAATATACATACAGCAAAGAATACAGAACAGAAACATGCACTGTAATGGTTTAACATAAAGCAGACACTTGCCTGTCAGGTAAAAAGCAGGGCAGTACCACCCCCCCCCCGGATGTCCACTTGACTGCCCTTTTCCAGGCACAGCGCCTCCCTTCCCAGAGTAATGCGAGAGTAATGACGGTTTTATCATTAATTATGCTTACTTCCTCCTTTCTTTAGTACTCATTCTGTAGTTTTCTTTTATTGCTGGTGTTATAAATGAATTAAGGTCAGTTCTACCCTCCATTTTCTCTACTCCAATTCTTCTCTGATTCCTCACGCCTTTGTTCTCTCTCAATTTTATAGGGGTTCTTACTGGTCTTATTTTTAAACCACAGAGTTCACTTAGTGCTGCCAGCATGTACCCAGGTGTAGAACCATGTACTAGAATATGAGTAAGCTCTTTGGGCTACATCCAGAACAAAAGCACACTCTCCTTCTCCCCTCTTCCAGCAGCAGTGGTCAATAGCGCCTCTGCTAGAGGTGGGCTGCCCACCCACTGCCTGCTGGAATTTGGTCTCCTTGCACAGTTACTGACTCCGTCTGTGTAGCTGCCCTGTTGTGTTGGAATACATCGCCTTGTGGTCAGCCATCACCTCTGGCTTGTCCTCTCTTTCTGCTTTTGTAAAATGATCCATGAGCCTTGAGAGGGGACATGTGATATAAATGTCCCATTTAGTTCTGGACATTCTGCCTAGACTCTTGTTTTTTATTCTGTGGGATAATTTATATATAATTATAATCATTTCTGCTTTAAATGATTTATAGATCTTTCTGATAAGGCTATCTGATCTGGAGTTTTCTTTTTAAGAAACTATGAACTATGAATTTCCATCCTTTAGTTTAATAATCACAATTACTTGTTTTATAATTGCAAATGCTATTATTGTTGTGTCAGAGCCTCATTGTAGCCCAAGTTGGTCTCATTATTTAGCGGAGAATGATTTTGAACTCCTATCCTCCTGCCTCCATCTTCCAAGTGCCGTGATTACAGTCTATGCCCTCATATCTGGCTTACTGTGTTTTTCTTTCTCTTGCATCATGGCTTCTTTTATAATTAATTTTTTGGTCTACACACCAGATACTTTGTTTGAAAAGTTGTGAAATTAGGTTGAAATTTTGGATACTATGTTCTTCCAGAAAATACTGTTTCACTCTTAGATGACTGCAAGAAGCACTAGTAAGCCAATATTACTTTAATCACTTTATGTTTAAGGGATTGCTATTTTCTGGACCACCCAGATGACTTAAAGCTACTTCTGGTTCACCCTTATACCTGGGATTCAGCCATTCAGGGCCCCATCTAACCCTTAGCTTTAGAAGCACTTGCACTGTTGACAAGCACTGCCACCTCTTTCCCTAGCTTTATAACACTGACAAAATGTTGAATGGCTTCTTAGCCATCTCCTTCAGTTGTAAGATCCTCCACATAAAGACAACTTAACTGTGGCTCACTTGGCTGACTCTCTGTCTTTGGACTGCGGTCTGGTAATTCTTCATGCTTTGTTAATCCTTGTATATTTACTTTTACTAGTTTCTCATTTTTCTAGGAAGGTTGATCAGAATCATTACTGGAAATACAAATCTATAAATATTTTTAAATAAAACCCTCCAGTCTCGGGGGCTGGAGAGATGACTCAGAGGTTAAGAGCACTGGCTGCTCTTCCAGATGTCCTGAGTTCAATTCCCAGCAACCACATGGTGTCTCATAACCATCTGTAGTGAGATCAGATGCCCTCTTCTGGTGTGCAGATGTACATGCAGATAGAGTACTCATATACATAAAATAAATAAGTAAATCTTAGAAAACAAACAAAAACCCCTCCACTCTCATGCTACAGAGGAGTTAAGAGAATGGATTCTACTACCAAACTGCTGGAGTTTGAATTCCAGCTCCACTCTCTCCTAGCTATATGGTTTTAAATGAATTACTTCCCTTTGCTTGAGCTTGAGTTTCCTTGTGCATGCATGCAAGTGTGTGTGTGCGTGTATGCATGCAAGTGTGTGTGTGTGTGTGTGTGTGTGTGTGTGTTGAGACCAGGTCTCATGCAGCCCATGCTGGCCACTACAGCCTGATGGTTTATTTAACGTGCATTGTGGGGCTCATACATAGGTTCTCGTGCTTATAGGGCAAGTGCTTTACCAACTGAGATGTCTTCCCAGCTTTGTATATAAAGTTTTAAACTTAGTTCCACAGTTGAGGATAAATGTAGTATTTGTCTTTCTGAGTCTGGCTTATTTTATTTAACGTAATGACCAGTTGCCCCCTTTTCTGCATATGCCACAATTTCTTTTTCCTTTATGTCTGTATAAATTCCATTGTATACATGTGCTGCCCTTTCTTTTTTTTAAATATTTATTTATTTATTTATTTATTTATTATGTATACAATATTCTGTCTGTATGTCTGAAGGCCAGAAGAGGGCACCAGACCTCTTTACAGATGGTTGTGAGCCACCATGTGGTTGCTGGAAATTGAACTCCAGACCTTTGGAAGAGCAGGCAATGCTCTTAACCACTGAGCCAACTCTCCAGCCCCGTGCTGCCCTTTCTTTATCTGTCTGTGTATTGATAAATATCTAGGCTGCTTCTCTTTCCTGGGTGTTGCAAATAGTGCAGTGGATCTATCTGCAAGTGTCTCTGTTGTTGACTTAGAGTCATTTGGGTGTCTATCCAAGAATAGCACATCTGGGTCAGATGGTAGTTCTGTTTCAGTTTTTGAGAAACCCCTATACTGATTTCAGTAGTAGCTAGTTATGTGTATAATCCCACCAGCAGTTTATAAGGAAAGTTCCTCTTCCTTCACAGTCTCACCAGCGTTTTCTGTAATAGGTCTTCTTAATGATAACAGTTCAAACTGGGGCGAGGTGGAATCTGAATGCAGATTTAATTTCCATTTCCCTGATGACTAAAGATATTGAATGCTCTTTCAAATATTTATTGTTCATTTCCTTAAAAACTTTCTACTTAGTTCATTCATCCATTTGTTTTATT